GGGCTTTGCGGGCCGGGAGCGCTTCGTCGCCCAGGAAAATAATCTGTCCCCCCTTTTTTTTTTTTCTTCCCCCCTCCCTCCCCCGGCAGCAGCCGATCGTCCCCGGAGCCTCGGAGCCCGGAGCCGCTCCCCAGGATGACCAGCCTGCGCTGCCCCGTCACAACTGACTCCCCCCCCCCCCCCCCCCCCCCGCAGGGGTGCAGCTGGGCTCGTGGCGTAGGCCGGCTGGATACGTGTCGCAAGGACCTGTTAAGAGACTTTTTCAGCTGATTTTCTCCGTGCCGTTAGACTGCCATTTCTGACTAGGCTTTGCCAACCCCCCCGGGAGCCATCTGCTGCCCCTCGCGCTTTGTAATTGCCTAAAATATCTACTTAAAGACCGGAGATGTTATGCAACGCGCTCGGCTGGTGGGCTGCTGAGCAGCGGTTCGTCAAGATACGCGTGTTTGCCGTGGGTTAGTAATCTGTCGATGCTTTTTTCCCCCTGAAACTTCTGCTTCAAGTTGATAGTAACTTTAGGCATGGTGAATAATAATAATAATAATATTTAATCAGTCCCTTTGCTCTCCCCTACTTCTCTGTAACCTGTGGTGAAACTTTGAGAAGCAGCCAGGGGAAGTAACTGGGTACAGATCTGGGTGGAAACGCTGGTTTCCAGCTCTTTCGCCCGCTCCTGCTGCCATCCTGCTCTCGGCGCTGGCTGGAAGAGCAGAGGCTTGTCAGCGCCTCTGAGGTTTTGAGCTCCCCTTGGGGACTTCATCGCGCTCTGTGCAGCGGCCGTGTCGGAGGCTGCCCTCGGCTCGCGTGAATGCCGAGGGATCTGCTCCTGCAGAGTCAGCCCCAGGCCTGGGGCTCAACCTGCAGTCTCTGCTCGGCAGAGATGATAGTCTCTGACTTCTTGCTTGGCAATCCGAAGGGGATTTCAGTCTGTGCCACGGTCGTGTGCTCCTTAAATCACAGCTGATGTGTCATCGCGCGGTTCGGGGTCCATGCTTGGATCGGCAGTGGAAGAGCTGCTCTTGGAGTCCGAGCCGGGGATGTGGGCTCCTGCCTTTTCTCCTTCCATTTTAAGTCTCATCTAGACAGCTTATTTCAAGTCACGCTTTAGATGAAGGCTCAGACATGACCGTGGGTAACAACAGCAACTTGAAATAGTGAATTTACATATATAAATGAGTGTGGGAACGTTCAGGCTCAAAGTACCTTGTGATCACTGGGAGGAGGAAACTTCCCATGGTGTCTGTGCCAGCACGGCTTGCTTAAGGCTTTGGTGTGCTCGGAAACAGGTTGCTGGGATGGAAGGGTTTGTCCTTGCTTGCTCAGGGACCGTAATTAATGCTCGTCAGGGGCAGAGAGGTGCGACGGAAGAGGACAAAAGGTTGGACGTGTTTGTGTGAGTAACGTGTCGGATGAGCCACCGCTGTGGTATGCGTGGAGTGGGTTTGCGAAGGGCTTCGTCGCCGAAGCGACGCCTGTTGCAGCAAAAGCCGCCTTTTCCAAAGGGCTGGGGCACTTCTCAGAGGTGAGAGAGAGCACTCCCACAGTTTGGTGGTTTGTTTTTTTTTTTTTTTTTTTTTTTTTTTTTTTTTTTTTTTTTTTTTTTTTTTTTTTTTTTTTTTTTTTTTTTTTTTTTTTTTTTTTTTTTTTTTTTTTTTTTTTTTTTTTTTTTTTTTTTTTTTTTAATGGGGAAGTTAATTTATAAGTAAATCTCTGGATTTAACTCCTTCCCGTGGGGCTGTATCATTTGTGGAGGAGGAAGGAACGAAGGAAGCGCTGGTGGTGCGGTTCTGGGGCTGGCAGACTGCGGCTTTCCCTCCTCCCTGTGCCTTGGTCCCCTCTGCAGCCCAGGGACCGTTGCTCCGCAGCGGGGGAGGCAGAACGACTTCCTAGGAAAGATGCCACAAAGACAAATTATAAATAGTTTGCTGTGCATGAATGTTCAGAGTAGGGAGTTAAAGGCGTCTCGCCCTTACAGAGCCAAGAGGCTGAGGAGCGCTGGGAGCCGTTCTTGAATGTGCGGTGTAGTTTGTCATTCTCCTGCTGCGTTTCTTGCAGTGTGGCTTTTATTTTATTCCAAATTTAAGGGCGAGTCATTGCTCTGCTTGTGCGAGCCCCAGGGTTGTTGCTGTTTCAGACACACAGGCTTGGCTGAACACAACTTGGCACCGGGACGCGGAGTCCTTCCAGTGCGAGCATCCCGACGAGGCCGAACCGGAGCAGAGCCTCCAGCGTCCCATCCCACCAGAGGAGCCAAGCGGTGCCGTGCTGTCACCGAGCCGGTGAGCCCCGCCGCTGTGCTGGGGACCGGGATGGGTTTTAGGAGCTGCGTGGTGCGGAGCTAAGCTGTGAGCGAGCTCGGGCCGCCCATGGTGGTTGCTTCCAGCTGTTTCTTCCAGCAGAGTGTCGCTCATAACCTGCTGCTTTGTTAAGAAAACTGCTGGTCTGGTGTGTCGGGGCTTTGACGTACTGGTTTGAGGCACCAATTCAGCTGAGAGGAGCTGCACTTGTCCTGCACTTGTTCTGTGTCCCAAGGAAAGGCTCTCAAAGGCTGCTCCATCCCAAGGCCTGACGCAGGGAAGTTGCATTGGATGGAGGAGCCTGTCCTGTCTGTGGTGCCAGCGATCGCTCAGTCTCTGGCTCAGGACCTCCTGTTGCCCTTTTCACTGAAAAGTCACCTTTTTTTGCTTTTTCTCTGCTATTTGCTCCGTGGTGTGCATCCTTTGGGAGGGAAGCGGTGCTGCTCCGTGAGAGAAAAGTCCCACAGCAGTGCCCTTGTGCAGTAGGGTAGGTTTACGGGCAGAGTTTGTCCTTGGGGGATGTCTGGAACCTGGCATTTTGGGTTTTTTGAAGCGGAGTGAGACCCATGTGCTGTGCAGAGGTTGAATCTGCTTCAACCAAGTGTGAAAAACGGGTGGGAGCCCGTCTCTGTCGGTGCCGAGTCTCTCCTGGAAGGGGATTTCGGAATTGAAAGAGGGCGCAGTGTCCCCCAGGAAGAATTATTTGTCCTCGCTTCAATGGTGCTCGCAGCACTCTGCCCGTCTCCCCCACGTGAGCTGAGTCAGTCACAGTCCCTTCGTGCCTCAGTTTCCCCAACCTCTAAGCTATCACCTAATAAGTTGCACTGAGTCACTCTGTTTGCAACGGGTCCGAGGGCTCTCCCCTTAGCGTAGTGAGGGGCACTGACAGTGCGTCCTCCTCCGGCCTCCAGCGCTGCTGTGATGTTTTCTGCCCCCATCCCAACTCCTGTGGCCTTCCCGAAGGCGCAGCAAGATGTCGAAGACCGTCAGTGCTGAGCAAAACAAAAAGTAATGCAGCGTAATAGAGACCAGATGTCTTGGTGAGGCTTCATCCTGTCCCCCCTGGTTGTTTGCCAGGGCTAATATTTCTTATTCAAGTCAGGCAGGAGCGAGACTTTTCTTTTTTTTTCCTGTGAAGCCACAGCTCTGTTCCCGTAGATCTCCCTCTGCTTTTGTCCCTCCCTGAAGGAACTGTGCTCTCGAATCGCTGCACCGACACGCGGCTGCTTCATCGGTAGTTTCTGTGCTAATAGGGGCTTCCCTGTATTTCGTATTTAATCACCGACTTCAGGGCCATTCCACCAGAGAGAAACTTGGCCCGTTATGGCTGTGGGTGGAGGATGAACCACATGAATTCAGCTCAGCCTGTTTTCCAGACTGGATTGCTTCATTGTGTGCAGCTGATGGGGTTTTTATCCCTGTTGAGACCAGCGATTTGGAATAGGGGAGTTATGCTGAGCCTCGAGAGGTAAATAGTACGTTGTGATATGTTTAACAAATGGTGATGTGAATCACGGAAAAATGCGGAGAGGTGCAGGAGGCGGGGAGTGAATTCCCTTGCTGGGATTTTAGGGAGCGCTAGGAGCGGAGACGTGTCCTTGGCGGGCTCTGAACGGCCCCATCGCCGGGATGTCACTGAAGGCGGCGGCTGTGTAAGTGTCCGGGGGGGAGGCTGAAAAGCATAAAAGAGAGCAATGAGAATTTTAAAAAAAAAAAAAAAGCAATGCACGGATTTCAAAGCTGTGCCTGCGGTGCAGAGGTAACCCTGCAGGCCCGTGGGTGGATTTATCTTGCGCAGTTCCTTAATCCAAGTTTAACCCACTCAGCAGTTGCGAGCTCTGACTGGCTATCTCCTCTCCGGTGCAGAGCCGGCACGCAGGGCCCTTACGGGCCTGGCTGGCTGGCTGGAGGTGGCAAAAGGATCAGGGAGTTCGGGCTGGCCGCGGGAGTGGCTCTGCTCACGATGAGTGCGCCGTGCGACGCAGGCGCCTCAGAGTCATCGGGATACCTTGCGTGAGGAGGTCAGGTCGGATCCAGCCTCTCCCGCGGACGTGAAGGCGGTTTAATGTCCAGAATTTCAGCGTGTGCCGTCATGCTGCACCAGGCTTCTCCTGCGTGCCCCGTGTTTACGGGGAGGGAGGTTTAACGAGATCCTACGCGCTTTTTCTCCCTCTGCAGCCTGGCAAGGAGGATGTCAAAAGCATTTCCCTGCATCGGATAAACCAGTCGGGGCTGGGAAAGCCCTCTGCGGGCGACCGAGCCGCCCGGGATCGCAGGTACTTCTGCACCCGGCGTGTGGCCATGGAGCCGTGTTTGGGACTCTGGAAGATGCCACCGCTGAATTTTTTTTATATTTTAATCAGCTTGTCATCCCAGTTGTCTTGATGCGAACGTTTGAAGGACCCCAGAAGTGCTGGCATGAGCAAAGCTCTGGGCGACTCTTCCTTGGACCCGGCTCCGCTCCGTGCCTCTTCAAATCCCGCCTTGCCGAGTTACGCCGAAGGATGTCCTTTTTGCCGGCATGGTGTTAATTTAAAAATTAGATCGTCTGGGCTTTCGTGGGGCAAGGCTGGGCTCACTAAGAAGGAAAAACAACTTCCTTCAGCTTGCAGGGTCTTTAGGATCTAATGACCACAAATATTTGAAGCATGCGGGATTTGTACCAAAGGGAATGGCAAGCACAGAGGAAAACGTTGTGTGTTGCTGCCGTGCGGACGGGGTGAAAGATGCTATTCATATCGCTTCAGACTGCTGAACTTTGGTCAAGCTTTTTTCACCTCGTAGTTAGAGCTTAAGTGCTTTGAAAACAAGAGGAGGAAACCGGTCTCTGGGAAGCGGCACTCGCATCTGGACACACTGACCTCGTTTTTACTCGCTTGGAATATTTAGAAAGAAACGCCGTGGGTTTCCTCGCCCTTTTCTCCGGCGTCGGGAGCTGTAATCGCTTGTAAAAATAAACAGCTAAAACAAGGTCATTAAATTAGCTGGGAAATACCTCGTTGCAAGAACCCGCCGGTGCAGCTTCTGTGGTCAAAACAGGGGCTGGGGGTCGTTGGGGGAACAGACAGGCAGAAAATGGTTCAGTGAACTTCTTTTCCAAAGACAGTAATTTTTTCCACCGTGCTGGACGTGAAAAGCAGGAGGGAATTGGCAATCTGCTTGCAGTGCTTAACATTTGTAAAAGGCATTGTGCCCTTCTGCTGATCACGAGCTGTCTTGTTGTAGCATATAAGCAATAAAGGGAAGCAGTCAGAGCTGCAGTAATGATGTTAGATTGAATAGAGTGCCTTATTTTATTTTTAGAGGACGATTTCACTTGGCGCTGGCCTTCTTTATTCTTGCTGGTTATCCGTAGAGATGCACTGCTGCTCTTTTTATCGAGATGGGAAACCGGGAAGTGTGTTCAATCCCTCATTTATCTTATTTTTAAAACGTAATTAAGTGCTAATCATTGGCGAGGATGCATAATCTGGGCATTGGTGTCTGGACTTTGAAAACAGGGACCTTGTTGCAACAAACACGGTTCTTGCGCCGGCTCTCTGCTCGCCCATCGCCCGGCACCAGCAGGGGATTTCACCGTCAAAGCGCCGCGTACCGCTGTCGCCCTCCGTCCTGGAGGGAGGTTAAATGAGCAAAAGCTGAGCACGGGGGATAAACTTCATCTTCTCTAGCAAGAAGCAGAGCCACTGGGTCCACCCAGCCTGTGGCCCTCTAATCCCAAGCGTTGCAGAATGCCTTTAGGGTGGAGAGCATAAAGCAACCTGGTTATTTTTTTTTCTTCCCCTCTCCTTCTCTTTTTGGCTTGCTCAATTTTTTTTATCGTCATGGTAACAGGGAAATTTTGTGTAATGGCTGATAGATGCTCACAGCTCTCTTTCAAGTCTGAGTGGAAGGGACACCAAGAAGACCTTTAAAACCCAACGTGAGCAGCTCGGCGTTGCTCTGGGCCGGCTTGCATTGCGTGCGTTGGCTTGGGGCACCTTCCTTCTCTAGACAAAGGCTTTTTGAAAAGGTTTGCACCAAACCTCAGCTCAGCTCTCGGTTTCCCTTGAGGTGTATCCCACCATGGATTCCTGTTTTCCCACCTTCAGGCTGGAAGCAGGTCTCCTCTGCAGATTGTGTCCCTGACTCTTTTTTTTGTCTTCTTTTCTTTTCAGCTTTGAAGTGTGCAGACCCGCCACTGCTATGGGAGACTCTGTTGTAGACCCAGCCCGAGGGACAGGCTTGGACCAGGCGCCCGGCTCAGCGCCCCAAGGGAATGGCGGGACGTCTCTCAGCGTCATCACGGAAGGTGTCGGGGAGCTGGCGGTCATCGACCCCGAGGTGGCGAAGAAAGCCTGCGAAGAGGTCCTGGAGAAGGTCAAGCTGATGCATGGCGTATCTTCCGACAACTTAACAAAACCGGCTGATGGCAGCGAGGCAGAGTGCGCCCCACGGACTGCGGTGGATTTGGCCAATGGAGACATCGGGGAGGGCTGTGAAATCAAGTGCTTGGACGATCCACCCAGCATGGCCTCTAAGATCCAGGAGGAGGACGAGACCATGGCCAACACGGTGAAAACCGCCCGGAAGCGGCAGAAGAATAACTCTGCTAAGCAGTCCTGGCTCCTCCGGCTCTTTGAATCCAAACTCTTTGATATCTCCATGGCCATTTCATACTTGTACAATTCAAAGGAACCTGGTGTGCAGGCTTACATTGGGAATAGGTTGTTCTGCTTTAGGAACGAAGAAGTGGACTTCTACCTGCCACAGCTGCTGAATATGTACATTCACATGGACGAGGACGTGGGAGATGCGATCAAGCCCTACATCGTGCACCGCTGCCGGCAGAGCATCAACTTCTCCCTGCAGTGTGCCCTGCTGCTGGGTGCCTACTCCTCGGACATGCACATCTCCACTCAGCGACACTCCCGCGGGACCAAGCTGCGGAAACTCATCCTCTCGGACGAGTTGAAGCCAGCTTACAAGAAGAGGGAGCTGCCGTCTCTGAGCCCAGCGCCCGATACGGGGCTGTCTCCTTCCAAAAGGACTCACCAGAGGTCCAAGTCGGACGCCACCGTTACCATCAGCCTGAGCAGCAATCTGAAGCGCACAGCCAGCAATCCCAAAGTCGAGAGCGAGGAAGAGGTAACGTTGGGGCTCTCCAAGGCTCAGCCTGCCTGGGAAGGGATGCCCCCAGGGCCATGCTCGTGCGGTTGGTTCTCATCTCATAGCTCCTCCTTTACTGCAGAGGGTTTTTTTATCCTAGTTGCTGCAAATGAGTTTTGATTCCTGTGTCTCTAAGCAAACTGACACACACCGGTGGGTCACACTCGAGGGTGCTGGGGCTCCAGAGGGGGAGTTTTCTTGGTGTGAGGGGAAGACATTAGATGGCTTCAAGGTAAGGCAGAAAGCTGGGTCAGGAGGACTGGGTCACTTCCTACACTGCTGAATTCCCACACGATTTGGGCAACTCGGCCGGTGTCTCTGTTTTGCAATCTGCAGCCGTCTGATCGCTGTTGGAAATCTGATTTCCTCCTTGTCCCGACTTGTTCAGATTTAGCAACGATGAGGTTTATTTGCAGGTAGAAAAGGCCTTGGGCAGCCGAGAGCTGGGAGCAGGAGGAGAGCAGGTAAACCCATCAGCTCCGCCGTCCCGGTGCCCTGGCCAAAATGAGCCTCTGGTGCACACACCCTTCTGGCTGTAGGGCCGAGAGCTGCAGCTGTGGGGTTTGTCCGCGGCTGCTGCCCTGTGCCAAGCTCTCCTTTGGATTTCTGCCTTCTTTCTGCAGCTCCAAGACAGTGGAAAGCCAGGCTTTCCCTGCTGGGGGGACTGGGCTGCGCGGAGGGGACGATTCCGGTTTCCAGGGTTGGGCGCTAATGCGGTCTAATGCCAAAGCAAATGGCAATTAAATAGGTGAGCTCGGGCATATGCGTGTTACCCATCTTCCAAACCCAAATAGCTCCCGTGAGCTTTGCGGCATTTATTTTTAAGTGTCAAAAAGTTATCGGCGCAAAGTTGCTTTGGTGCTGAGCTGCTGTATCGGTGCACGCTGCAAGACTCTGTGCGCGCTCGCTGGAGAGTGAGTGTTTTTGCTTGAGTGGGATTTCTCCCAAAGAAAATGCAGATTATTCATTTCACACATCTGCTGACACAGAGCAAAAGGGATGAGCAGCATCCTTGGTAGTGAGGACACAAGGCTGGAGGGAAAAGAGCTGGAAATGGAAATTTTTTATTTTGCTGCTTTGTTTTGAAGGGCTGATGGTTTTTAGCACGAGCATCAGCCTGAGATGGTGAGAAATGCAGCCTGAGATGGGGATGCCGGGCGGGAGAGGAGAACGGAGGAGGTGAGCTGATGCTAAATGCAAATTTTATGAGCAGTGCTAACCAAATTGGAGAAAAGCAATGCCTCTTCCAGAACTCAAGAAGTTGAAATACTCCCCCGGGGAGGTGGTTCACCTCTCCAGCGGGGATGGCTTGTAAAACCACAGTACCAAAGGTTCGGTCCCGGTGGGGCTTCGGCAGCCGTTCACCCGGTACCCGGGCAGATCAGCCAGCCTCCACGCAGCTCCTTTTCTGGGTCATCCCTGTGCCTCGTGTGGATGAGACCTTGAAAGCCAACTTCCCCGCAGCTCCGTCTAGACATTCGAGATCTCGTGACTGTTTTCGTAACGGTGGAGTATTTCTTGGCTTTCCTGCCTGAGATTCCCCCTTTCCCTTGGCTCCACGCTGGGTTGTAAATCGTTGGAAGGGTCTGCGTGGTCTCCTGCCTGTCTGCCAGACTTGGGGAAGGCTCCTTTGGATAAGGAATTGAAGGAGGTTTCGGAGGCATGAAGCGGCAGTCGTCCGGGCTGGTTTCAAGGTAAAACCACCCTGTCCTGCCTCTCACCGTTCTTGGGTGAAACCCCAGCTGCGAGCCGGGGTCGTGGCATTTGCCGATGGGTAGATGAATCTTTCATGTCTCTGCCCATCAGCTGCTCGGTGGAAAACAACCGGCTGATGGAGAGCAGGACGCAACGAGGTCTCTCTGCTCACGTTGGCTGCAGCTGCTTGAATAATGGAAACCGAAGCTTTACATAAATGGTAGATGAAAGCAGCGCAGCGAAGAGTTTCTCTTGGCAATGTTTTAAACGTATTTTGATCCGGAGGCGAGGCAAGCTGTTTAAACGGTGCACAGCAATAGGGATACTCGAGGTGCTGTAAGAACTTTCCCGGCCTCCGAATATCCCCAGCAGCTTCCTGGACCTGTATTATTTGAAGCACTCGATGTTATTGCCTCGTATTTGAAAGCAGCAATCCCTGGAGTTGGCCAGGTGGTGGTGGGGCCGGGCAGGTCCAGCGTAAATTCCAGCAAATTCTGGAATTCACTACTTTAAGCTGCTTTAAGCTACTTTATACAAGTTAATTTTCCCTTGGTCCAGGAAACCAGCAGATGTCTGAATTGTCTTGTGCTGGGACCAGCCCTTAGCTTGTTCCCCAAACTTTCTTAAACTAGAGATTTTACAGCAATAAAAATCTCATGTGTGCTCATCTGGGAGTTACTTTATTCCCTTTATGCTGCTGTGTCTCTGCTGCCAGTGTCCACACCATCGAGCCGTGGGTCGGGAATCCGCTTCTGCTGCGCCTCCCGAGAAACTTCTGTTTCTTTGCAAAAAATTGCAAAACTCGAATGTAAAACCAAGAAGTCGTTTGTCCAGATTAAGGAAGGCTGCAAGGCCTGAATCTCCTTACCGAGCGCTGCCTGCAACGTCTGGTCTTGTGTGGGCCTCAGCCTGCAAACTCATCCAGTGTTCAGCTGTGTGTCTCTCCTTCCAATCTTAAAAAAAAAAAAAAAAAAAAAAAGCCAGATCCAACCCAGCCAAGGGTAAAACATGACATTTCTTCAGCTGTCCTGTATTGCTAACGCAGCGTTTCTGTGTGCTGCAAACGTAGAGCTGGTGTATGAACATGGATGATTCGTTGTCTGCTGCAGATGGAGTCAAATCAGCTGGGCCCGGGGGGACGGGCCCGGAGGAGGAGAGGAGCAGAGGATGGAGAAGAGGCTTTGTGGAGAAGTTGGCTGTTTCTGATCTGTGACGGGAGGCTGTTGAAGAGCAGGAGAAATGGAAAAAACTCTGCCTGGAAGAGCTGTAGGGAGGAAAAGCTGAAGCGTTGGGCTAGTGCCTTTGCAGGTGGGCGTAGATCTGAAATACAAGCCGTAGAGGACAGGGCTGGAGACAAGAGGTGCGGGGAAAGGAGAGGTACAGAGAAGGCAGGTATGTCGCACCCGTCCCTGAAAGACTTGTGGAAGTGTCCTGCAAACTCTGCCCACGCCAGAGGCTTTGCAGCCTGCTGCAGGGCTTACATCCAGGCTTTTTCCCAGTGAGGGTTTCCCACATCCAGGCTTCGTCTCCCCTTCATTACTGGAGCCTGAAGCTGCTTTTTAGCTCTACCAAGGAGGTGGTGGCACCATATTCCCTTCTCTGCAGCATCCGTCTGTGTCTGGCTGGGTTATTTTCCCATCAGTCTTCTCTCCACTGAACAATTCTTGCCTCTTCTACATTTCCCGTAGGTCGCCTATTCTAGACCTCTAGGTTTTTATTTCTCCTCTGGACCTTTGCCTGTTGTTTCACATCTTCCTTGAAGCGCGGCGCCAGGTCCTCCCTGTTTCTAGGCTCTTAAAGGTGCCTCTCCTTTGCTGCTGGTCCTCTGCGAGGGCCTCCGTTACCTGCAGGTCCCGGATTAGCTGGGTCAGACCCAAAGCAGGTATTAACGCTACTTAAGAAAAAAAGTCTGTGTTGGTTTTAGAGCCGGGGGGGGACGGACAGCTCTTAGCAAAGTCAGTAGTCACCCCTGGGACGAATCTGTCCTTTCCCCCGTGATCACCTGCAGCCGTGGCACTTTGTTTCTAGAGAATAATTCTTCCCGCTAAGGTCTTTATGTTCCAGTTGTGGCTTCATGCTGCATAACCACCATAATAAGGGGCAGGAGAGGTTTTATTTCAAGTGCCGTTCGTGCTGTGGGTTATGCATCTGTAACATAATTCCATGATACGGTTCTAATGGTATAAATTTATTTTGCATTTGTTACTTTTCAATTAATACAAAGGCATGCAAAGGAAAAGCCACAAGCTCGAAACTCATGTCGTCTTGCCTCCCTCCGGTTCGAGGTGGATGGACTCAGCCTTTCTTCCAGCCCTGGTTTCCAGGGTGGTGGTTGTATTTTGCTGGAGTCCAGGTGTGTCCCGTTCTCCGATCCATTTACAGACAAAGGGCAGATTAAATGTGCTGGGGCTGCTCCGTATTGAATTTTCCACCTGAGCAACTTGAGACCCGGAGGGGAGGAACTTGCTGTAACCTGATGCTGGTGCTGGAAACCGGGGGAGCACTGATAAGTGTTTCATTGCAGGAGATGGTCTGAGATGTCGTAGTTGGGTGTCTTTGGCTGCGCTGTCCGCTGGGATGCGAGAAGATGGACAGACCATGGCCGGGATCCCCATGCTGCAGACGTGGGGGCAGGTTGCCGTCCCAGCGCTGCGCAATGGGATGCTTTACTTCTTTCTTGCCTGTTTAAATGTTAAACCTGCAAGATGGGTCCCTCGCTGTCTGCGGCATGAGCCAGTCCTGCTGGTGCCTTCGGTCGCGCCATAGCGCTGTTAAGTCGGTTGCGCTGGGCAGAAACATGGAGGAGTTGGGCTGGGTGGCTGGTGGAAGCTGGCCATGGGTGGGTGGGACGTTGTGTCCGGCTCCCCAGGGTTTTGGCAGGGCTGCAGGCAGCAACCTGGAAGCAAAACCTCACCCAGGGCAGAGCAGCTGCTTAAACTTCAGTAAAACCATTCGTGGCTGGGCCAAGCTACCAGAAACATCTCAGGCTGACCTAGAGATACCTGTTGGGGTGAGGGAGAGCTGAACTTGGAGCAGAAAAAGTCATCTTGCTGCCTGATCGCCTTCACTTTACCTAGCTCTACTCAACTCAAGCCTTGCTGGCTTTGGGGCGGTTGTTTTTAATGACGCCTCCTCCGTAAACCCAACAGGATTTGCTGTAAAGGTGCAGTGAGTTCTCGCCAGCACCCGCACCGGGGGATTTGTTGCACAAACAGGTTGTGCTGCCTTTGCAGCATGCAAATGCCTTTGCCTCGGTTCCTCCTTGGCAGGCGCTGAGCGGCGGC